CCCAGCCCTAAAGTAATTTAAAGTCTCTGGGATTACAGGTCTGGACACCCTGCTCAGCTATATCTTACTATTGCGCTATGTTGAAAAGAACTACTTGAATTTGAACTTCTGTCCATTTTGTTCAGTTTGTTTGTTTGGTTTTGTACTAGGGATTGAACCCAGGGTAGCTCTACCACTGCAGTTTGTCCCCAGCCCTTTTTATTTTTCTTTCTATTCTTTCTTTATTTACAGACAGGGTTTAAGTTGCCCAGGCTGTGCTCAAATTGTCAGCCTCCTGCCTTGGYTTTATCCATCTCAACCTCAACCTCCCCAATAGCTGGGATTAGAGATATGTCACTGCACCCTGGGGCATTATCATTATTACTTTAGGTACTGGGGATTGAACCCATGAAACTCTACGACTGAGCTACATCTCCAGCCCTTTTTATTGTATTTTGAGACAGGGTTGCTGAAATTGGCCTCGAATATGCCATCCACTTGCCTCAGCCTCCAGAGAAATGGGGAACACAGATGTGCAGGTTTTTAATATGCTGGAAGCCTCAAAAAGTATAAGTGGTCCGGGTTTCTCAGAGTCTTGGAGGCTCAGAGAAAAGTACTGGTGAAACACATTTTGAAGTCATCAGCAGCCAGACATTATTAAAGTCAAGAGACTTAAGGTGGTCCCCTAAGATAAGACACGTACAAAGAAGGTTAACTAGAAATAGACAAAGTGCTKCAAGAAAACTAAATGAAGTCAGAAAAAGATGGGAAGGAAAACCAKAAGGCAAGAGTGCATTTTAAGAGGGGGATTAATCAACAGCGTTAACTATTTTGCTGACTTTCTTCTATAGCACCAACCAGGAACTCTACCAACTCCTTTGTTTTAAGGAACAAGTATAGGACAAACTCAGGTTAACAAAGACACTAAACCACACCTCTTTGACTTTGGAGGGGGGAYTCTAACTCGTAGTTTACAGTTTATTTCCTCCAAATGGACCGCTCAAGGAGGTTTGAATCTTAATCACTCTTCTATTTCATACAGCCTTAATYCTACAGTTCACGTAATATCAGTTAAATGACTTTAAGAACATTTTGAAAACCACTCGGACAAAACTAAGGGCTTTTTTCAGTCTCGAGAAGCCGAAATACCCCCCGGGGCACGATCAYACTGCGCAAGCGCAAAGGCAGACCTCTAGCTTTCCGCGTCTTTGCCTTTGGCGCGAAATTCGCGCTCAGTGGGCGGGGCTCTGGGCAAAAACACCATTCATTGGGCAGGTTTGGCGCGAAATCCCCGAGCTCCTACGCGACGATTGGCTCCAGCCGTTCCGACGAGCGAGGGGGCGGGACGGAAGCGGCGGCGGCGCGCGCAAAGCGGCGTCTAGGGAGAAGCGACTCGTGGCGGTATTGGCTTGGCGGTAGCGGTCCCGCGGTAGTAAGCAGCAATGGACCTCGCAGCAGCAGCAGAGCCGGTAGCCGGTAGTCAGCATTTAGAAGTCCGCGACGAGGTGGCCGAGAAGTGCCAGAAACTGTTCCTGGACTTCTTGGAGGAGTAAGTCTCTCGGCGTGCACCCCGGGCCTCCCCAGCCGCCCGCCTCCGGCCCGCGGTCTCCGGGCCGGGCGGGGCCGTGAGGCAGGCGGGTGTTCCGGAACCTAGGGGGTCTCTAGCCGGGGAAGAGCGGCCCCCGCCCCACCTTAGACTCCAGGCCAGGCCTCCAGGAGGAGCCAGGGACCTGTGGTATGGTTTCATGGGTAAAAGCCTCCTSGATCCCTTGCTCAAACCCCTGTTGCACCCAATGCCTTGTGTTCGGCATTGTGCTTTTATCATTTAATGCTCACAACCTGGGAGGTCGGTGTTTACATGGCCTGGTAACCTTGGGGAAATTCAGGCGCGGTGAGGATGAGCACCTGCCCGCTTGGGCCRCTGGGCTCGGTGGGGTCGATGAGAGGCCGAACTGGTCTTAAGTTCTGGAAGACCCCATCAGACCCCACCGCCAGAAACCTGACGCTGCGGGCGCCGTGGGCTCGCATCACCATTGGAGTCTGTTGGATGAAAGTAATGGCGTGGACATTGAGGTTGGGTAGGTGCTCAGGTAGGTTCTTTCCTGCTTAAAAGTAGCTGAAATACCCCCTGTTTGGGGTTGCAGGCTCCAACCGCACCCGCCTTTTAAAGTTGCCTTGTAGGTTCCTGGCTTCTCATAACTCCCCTCCCTAGCTTACACCGCCCATCTTAACTTAGTGCAGATACACCAGTGCTCTCCCTAATGTATGAACTCTGCTGCCTCGAGAGTGAAGTGGTAAACTCTTTGAAATGTCTTATGAATTTCTCTTCATTTTTTAAAAATTGTAAAATATATATTACATGATTTACTTGTTTAACCAGTTTTTAGCTTGCAGTAAAAAAGTGCCAGTAAGTGTGTTCATTATACAACTACCACATCCATGACCTAAATGCTCTTCAGCTTCCCAAGCTCTGTACCCACTAAACGGTAACACCCACTCCCTCCTTGTCCTAAGCCCTGGCAACCACACTGTGAATTTGATTACTCTAAGTGCCTCATATAAGTATGTTGTGTGTGAGGTGTTTGTTTTTTTTTGTTTGTTTGTGGTGCTGGGGATTGAACCCAGGGCCTTGTGCATGTGAGCAAGCACTCTACCAACTGAGCTATATCCCCAGCCCTAAATATGTTTGTGTATCTGGCTTATTTCACTTTATTTCATTCAGCATAATGTGTTATAGTTTATATCCTAATTTCCATCCCCCCCACCCACATGAAGTCTTACTATGTTGCCAGGCTAGTCTTGAACTCCTGGACTCTAGGGATCCTCCTGCCTCTGCCTCCTGAGTTCTGGAATTGCAGGCATGTGCCACCATACCCAATTTTTTGTTTTGTTTAGTACCAGGGATTGAATCCAGTTGTGCTTAACCAGTAAGCTGTTTTCAGCTCTTTTTAATATTTTATTTAGAGACAGCATTTTACTCGGTTACTTTAGGACCTCGCTAAATTTCTGAGACTGGCTTTGAACTTGCAGTGTTCTTGGCTTCATACCCAGTTAAAATTTAATTTTTTTCTCGAGACTGGTGTTGTATGTATATATCACATTTTGCTTATGTATTCATCTATGAGTGGACACTCGGGTKGCTTCCACTTTTGCTTACTTGAATAATGCTATATTAAGAAGTTTTGCTATGCTTAAAACTGTCATTTATGGGGCTGGGATTGTGGCTCAGAGGTAGAGCACTCACCTAGCATGGGCGGGACCSGGTTTGATCCTCAGCACCACATAAAAATAAAGGCATTGTGTTGTACCCATCTACATCTAAAAAAATAAATATTAAAAAAAAAGTCATTTAATTTCTGTTTCCAAGATTACGTGCCTGTAATCCCAGCGGCTCAGGAGGCTGAGGCAGGAGAATCTCGAGCTCAAAGCCAGCCTCACCAATTTAGTGAGGCCCTCAGCAACTTAGCAAGACTTTGTCTCTAAATCAAAATACAAAATAGGGCTGGGCATGTGGCTCAGTGGTCCAGTGCCCCTGAGTTCAATCCCTGGTACCACCACCTCCCCTGCACCCCCCCCTCAAATGATTTAATTTCTGTTTGTAGCCAAGTGCAGTGGCTCACACCTGTAATCCCAGCTGCTAGGGAAGCTAAGGCAGAGGATTGTGGGTTCAAAGCCAACCAACCTCAGCAATTTATCAAGAACCAAAGCAGCTTAGCAAGACTCAGTCTCTAAATACAATATAAAAAAGGGTGGTTAAGCACCCCTGAGTCATCCTCAGTAACCCCCAACCCCCAATTTTTTTTTCTATTTCCCTGCTACCAGCAATATTCTTCTCAGTCTGACAACTAACTCTTCATCTTTCAAAGCCCGAGTTGACTATAATCTCATCTACTCCAAAAGCTGATGCAACAGGATCACAAGTTCCAGGCCAGTCTCTGCAACTTAGTRAGACCCTGTCTCAAAAAAGGACTGGAGATTCAGCTCAATGATAAAGCACTCCTGGTTTCAGTCCTCAGTATGGGGGGCCATGGGAGCCCAGCTAAAGGCTCATCTTTGTGAAATTCTGTAAACCTTTCAGGGATCAAGCACCAATCTGTTGTTCCCTTATGCTTCCAGGGTTTCTACCATTTTCCATATATCTTTACCTGTCAGCCACATAATCTGGAATATGTCCCATTCACAATCAAACTTAGCTACCATATCACCTTACAAAGGTCTTCAGTAAATGTTTCATTTCAACACATAATGTATGTGCCTTCACTTTATCTTGTAGCTAGATGCCATGGATAATGACAAACAAGACAGACCCTATACTTTGTTTAAAAAGTCAACTTGCTCTCACAAAACCAATTTTGGTTTGTCATTGCTTATGGAATAGTCCAAAWTCTTCCCTCATTTTTTTTTTTTGAAAGAGAGAGTGAGAGAGGAGAGAGAGAGAGAGAGAATTTTTAATATTTATTTTTTAGTTCTCG